TTGCAGTACCCACACTGCAGAGATATTAGAATCTGTGCTTAAATGTCAGCCAAACCCATTTGCACAGGGACAGATACAACCTATCAATAAACCAAATATTATTTGTCACATGTCTGACAATAACCATTTAAAATAACTATTTTCATTCATTTCAGATTGAACTATTCACACACTTGTATCATATTCAATTGCACTTACAATATTCAAAGTTCAGCTCAATTTACATTATTTTTCTCTAAACACAGAGCAGCCAGCCTGCTTGCACTCACAATCAATCATGGGATACCCATGGCTACGGAGAATAGACCAGAACCGTCCTTCAAAACTGACAAAAAGAAGGCTGCATTTTGTTCGGCTGCATAACATGGGGTCTTCCGATCTGAAGACGATGCCATATAGTTGGTTCAACCCATTAAAAGCAAATCGCATGCTATACTCGCTGTTTGAGAATGGTTGTAAAAGAAAGATGAGGCTAAAATCTATGGAGATGGAGATGATAATAATGATAATTATTTAAAATACGGTAGTAAATTATATTTATAGTGCACCCGAAATAGGTATATTCAAGTGTTATCACTAAAGTAAAAAATACATTTATGGAAATAAAAGTACTTAAAGTTTAATGCAAAAATTATAGAATAACAAAAACATGAGAAAGTTGTTTTTATCTGCTAACTGAGCAGACTCTGTTCTAAACATCTGGATATCTCCACCAGCTCCTCTAAACAGCAGCTTGACATGATATGCTGATATAAAGGCGCTTAAGAATGTAATAGCTAACAATGCATGCAGAAAAGTGATGTCATTGAGGTCTCTGTAGTGAACATATGGCCACAGCAGGCTTGTATATAGCTTGATTTTTTTTTTGGAGCAAGCAGAGAGTAGAGACCTCTCTAGGGGATGAGGCACCTCACACCGTGTTGATGGCATAATCATGTAGCCAGTGTGAACCGAGAGATCAGTTCATACTACAGTAATCTTAAGGAAATTGAGGATGTCTGGATATGCTCCCTCAACTTTACTGACAGAGGCAGAAGGAGAAATTAGATTTTTTTTAAAAGCATGATGACAATATGGGGTTATGTTTCATGAGCCATGTTGCTCCTAAAATAATGGATCGTTTGGGGGAGTTAATTTCAGTAAACATTATTTCCTCATGATGATTTCCACCTAATGACAGTAAGGTCTGTAAGTGAGAGAGGTTGAGAATTTGTCAATCAAGGGTCAAAACATTGTAAGACAATGAGGTAAAATTGAGATTAAGTCGTCGGCCCCTGGCAAATTTTTGATCAATAAGTTCTGTGTCCCTCCCGAACTCTATGAACTCAGACACATTAAGCATGTGACTGGAGACCTTGAGGTCAGTTTGGAAATAGATAGAGTGGGAGATTTTAATTATTTTGAACTTCTCTATTAGAGTCCTCCTTTTATTAAATAAGACTGACCTTGTAGCAGAACAGCTTGAATCCATATGGCCCATACCACCACAACAGAAACATAGGGGGACCATTCTGCTTCAAACTTATTCCTCAAGAGTTAAATAACTTCTCTGAATGTGCCAAGGTTCCTCATTAGAAGGAAGAGCTGTGGGAAATGTAGAAAACCTGTGTGACAGGTCTGTCGGTGGTCATCCCGGTGAGATTTATGGATTCATCCTTACGGCACTTCTCCCTCCTCCTTTCCATTAGCCGAAGATCAATTCTGGTTTCAAGGCTATCCAAATCTTTAAGATCATTATATTAATCCCTAGTAGCAAGTTCATCCTTAATGTCATAGTTTCATCTTTGCATAAATGTGTCCATGAGGTCCTCCTGGTCCACCAACTGCTTGCAGAAAGAGTGTGAAAATCAATGATAAAGGCAGTAACACTCCTCTTACTTTGCCTCAGGGTAATAAATCCCTGTCTGCCTTTCTCTATAAGAAAGTTATTGAGTAATCATTAACTGGAGTATACAGACACTAAAACTAGCTTTTAACTGCAAGAAACAAACAAACTCAATGCAACAATTGAGCTAAAGCATCAAAAAGGTTTTCAAACTGCTAAAGCGTTCCAGAAATAACTAAAGATTTCTTAAATTAAGTATATTTTCCCTTAATTTGATAAGATCATTGGTAAATAAGATGATTTGCCAGTGGAATTAATATTTTTACCCTTAAAAAAGATAATTACATAATATGCTCAACGAATAAGACAATGCAATTGTTGTTTTCTTATTTTAAATGTAAACTTACCTCCTCAATTCAAGAAAAAAAATTCACTTATTTTAAGCAAAAATGACTTATTTAAATTTTTTGCAGTCCATTTAAATAAATCTGATCAAAGTTGTTCTATCCAGACTCTAAGTTCTAAATTCTGTAAAATAATTTTTCTGTGGCTGATTATTAATTATTATCATTGTTAACACTAATTATTGGTTTATTAAAAAAAGTGAGCAGATTAACCGATTAGCAAATTTTACAGAAGTACTTTTAAATATGTTTGACCATAAAGCAGTAAACTAGAAGCACTTGAAAAAAACTTTTTAACTGTTAAGTTGCTGGTTTCTTTGAAACAATGATAGAAAATCTGCTGATGTTTAAACAAAAACAAAACTTGGAGCAATGTGAACAACTCATGTTTTTAAACAGGTGTCATATATCTTTAAAACCAAAATACAATTTTAATTTGTTAATTTATTCACTAAACAGACTTTGGAAAAACAGTATTGAACATAAATAGAGTGAAACACATGGTTTTCAGGTTCAGGGACGGCTATTTTTGTTGCCTATATCGAGAGTGCTTCCATATCACCCAAGACCCCCCTCCTAAAAGGAAAGCAGAGTGGTAAAGAATATTGTATAACTAACTTAACATTTTGTGTGTAGTGGTAAAAGTAACTCAAGAAACGTATTGATTAGATTTTATACATGCATATTTTATATATGATTATTATTATTAATTATATAAGTAAGAAGTATAAAACAAACTAGATGTTTTAGAACTTGGTACATTGTTACAATTGGTTATAAAGTATGTTTTTAAAATGCTGGTGAAGGTTCTCAGCCATCCAGGTCATAGTCATTCCAAAAAAATTAAAAACCAATCCGTTGGATCCACTTTTCAAACTTGGAAACCAAGTCCAGTCCATAGTTTTAAACTTTTTTGGAATATTTTTTTTAAAGATATATATTTTTTTACATATATATAAAATATACTTTTTTGGAATATTAGGCAACACTATCAGTTTTTTGTATAATTGAATCTGTGACACTCTGTGCTTCGCCTTGCATAATTCTTGTTGTTGTTGGTCTCAGTCTTTGTGTGCATCACCACCTAATGTCTCCTCATCATTACATCTCTCTCCATCTCAGCACCCCTGCTCTCCCCTGTAATTACAATAAATAGCGGCTCTCTCAAGCTGTAGAGGGTGCACTTGGAAAGTCGCTTCAATTGATCGAGTTGCAGTAATACACCATGCTATGCTCCAAATAAAGTAACGGCATTGCAGAAATGAGAAAAGTAATTAGTTATATCTCTGTGTTATTGACAAAATAATGCTGTTACTAATGGTGTTACTAAGAAAACAGTTTGTGTCTCAATAACTGATTTAAGGCACATTATGTCACTATGCTTGATTGGCTAACCAACTGTCCTGATCTAAATTCCACAGCGAATCAATGTGCTATTGTCAAGAGGAAGATATAAAGCACCAGAGACACTGATGCATACAAGCCAAAAGCAGCAGTTAAGGCAACAAGGGCTTCTTTAGCACCTCAGCAGAACCACATCTCCTCCAAACCATGCTGCATTGATTGGCCAGCCAACTGGCGTGATCTAAACTGCACAGAGAATCAATGTGCTATTGTCAAGAGGAAAATAAAACACACCAGAGCCAAAAATGGAGACAGGCCGAAGGCCAGTGCTGAAGCAACCACGGTATCTTTAGCACATCTGCAGAACCACATCTCCACACTCTACACCCTGCATTGACTGGCCAGCCAACGGGTGTGATCAAGAATCCCAGGAAAAATCAATGTGCTATTGTCAAGAGAACTATAAAATACAGCAGAGACAATAACGCAGAGACGCCAAATGCTGCTTCTAAGCCATCAGGGCTTCCTTAACACCTCTGGAGAACCACATCTTCTTTGCATCACCTGCACTGATTGAGTTTTCAAGAGCAAATGCTGACATTTCTATAAGGACTGTATCCCCCCTTACAATAATAACATATGGACTGTCCTCACAATCACACACATACCATGGACTGTTCCCCTCACATACATACACAATCTGTATAAAATCTGTAAATCTTATCTGCCATTACTTATCTTGTATTATAAACCCGCTAATACATATATAATCCTTTTCCTATTATGTATATTCTGTATAATCTGTGCATGTAGCTCCCATATTCATATTTATATTTATACACAACTTTTTACAATCCCTAACTATTACTTTTTGCTTGTACATAGACCTGTAATAATATTTATATCCTGTATAGCACATCTGGATGGATGCAAACCACATTTCGTTGCTTTATACTGTGACAGTGCAATGACAATAAAGTTGAATTCTATTCTTTTCTATTTTGTGTTTTTTCTACAATAATCATCATTTTTTTAAGATATTGAATTTGGGGTATTTAGCTGTAAGGGAAATTAATTACCACTAAAGATGTTTTTGTTTGATGTTTATAGTTTTAGACTTTGAACAGGCATTTGTTGAATAAATAGTTTTTATAATATTCTAACTAGTTTTTTGTCAACATTGCATAATAATTCAAGTTTTCATTGAGGGAAGGAGGTGGCATCATGGAGGCGCAAAGATCATTAATGCGTTTTTAGCAAGTCCTGGTCTACCAACTGCTGACTCACCAGATACTTGATTTTTTATTTTTTTTATTCATAAATATATATACATTTTATTTTTATTTATTTATTATTATTTTTGTGTGTGTGGGATCAGAAAAGCTTGTCTCCTGCCCTTTTTAACCCGTCCCTCCTTCTCAGAAGGTTAAGTCACCCAGCACCATCTGGGAGGCTGCACAGTTTGGACAGCAGCTCTGCCCTTTAACGCACGATCTCCCTGTTTGCACCCCGCTGGCTGCGGGCGCACAGCAGCAATCTCCTGCCTTGGCTCAGTGCGCTCCTACCGATAGACCCGACAGCAGCACCTGCAGCGGCCGACTTTTACTTAAATATCGCATGGACCCTTCTTTTCTAAAAAAGAACAAGTCTTTTTCACCTTCCCAATGGACATTTACGCTTCAGCGCTGTCACCGGCGCTGGACATCGGCACAGGATGCTATCTGCTGGTTTTAAGTAAGTAAAAAAGACACGAATAGTTTTTATTTATTTATTTATTTTATTTATTATTATTTTTATTTTTTATCAGAAAAATATTCACATTATTCTGTCTTAGATTTCGCTTTTTTTTTATATCCGGGCAGTCGCACTTTACACTTTATGTCAGCTGCTTCAGGATATTTCGATCTGTTTAGACACAGCCAGAAAAAACAGCTGTCCTGCTTTCAGGGAGATGTTTGGGTATGTTGTCCCCTGACGTCTAATCGTAGGTAAACCAATGCAGATGTTATTTGTCCGCCTTTCTAAATTGATCCTGGGTAAATTTCAAAAAATACCTGTTGATGAAAATACCACCTTTATGGGTTTATAATCGGCTTCTAAAATAGAGACAGAATTACGCACAAATAGACCGCTGGAATCAGTCAGAAGACTGCTATTCAAACTCAGTTGTTATATTGAGGATGGTCCCTGATATGAGATATTTTATCTGCATCCTAAAAAACAATTTTATATTGCACTGTTATTCAATATAAATGCACACCCATAAATATAAACTTCAATCACCTATATGACATGGGTGGTTCCAGACAGGGGCCAGTAGAACATGTCCTGGCCCCTGTTATGGCCCCTGTACTGAATACATAATACTCAAAGAAATTCTATTGATGATATAACAGACATGGTTACCAATAGGTCCTTTGGATCAATTTCATATTTTTTCTTTACAAATTCTGTTTTACTAATCATTTAAAAACAATAAAGTGATAGCTTCAGTGGTATTGAGATAGGATCCAAGTTTTCATCTGCTAAATTTTATTTTATTCTTTTTTTTAAGCTGAATTTTTTTTTGTTCTAATTCATATTTTATAGAAAACTGTAATTTTAGCTTAAATTAAGTCAGAAATATGTAAAATTCCTAAATTATGAATGTGTATGGATCTAATAAGACATTTTTTTAATTTCAATTAAATCTAATTGAATATAAATTTCACTTCATGCTGTTATATAGGTATATTTGAATCCCTTGCCCTGTTTTTTATATCATGCTTTTCTGTGCCCCAGTGAAAACATACTGGCCCCCTCCTGGCCCCCTGTTACATTTGGTCTAGGACCGCCAGTGCTGTAAGATAAAAAAAAAAAGAGAGAGAGAGAGAGATTTAAGCTTTATCCTGGCATAAATACAGTGGGCACTTACATAGAAGATGAATCAGTTCTTGTTGACATACAGTGTAAAAAACATTCCTAAGAGATTTAGGTCCATTTTGAGGTGATGTCCTGGTGATCTGCCAGCTGATCCATGATGCAAATAGCCTGTTCAGCCATATCCCAAATGTGTCCTACTGAATTCTAATCTGTTGGCTGAAGAGGCCATCGAGTACATTGAATTTTCTTGATTTAATAGCTTGAGTTTATTTGAGTTTTGTCACATGGTGCATTGCCCTGCTTTAAGGTAGCCTTGGGGAAAAAAGGGTTACATTAATCATTCAGTGATGGACATCATTAGAAACAATAATTAGGTAGGCGGCTGCTTTAAAATGAAGTTCAGGTTTTAAAGAAGCCCAAGTGTTTCAAGAATATATTCTCAAACTGTTACACCACCAGCAACAACCCAGACCATGGCCAATATAATGCCCAATTTATTTGTTAATATCCTTGCTTTTATTGGATGTAAAATTCAAATTGAAGCAATAACATGACTCATTGTTTATTATGTATTTTTGTTGCTTCTGACATGCATCTCAGTCTACTTTCACTCGCACTCATAGAAGAGAGAACTGTGGTTTTCTTGGAGCTGCAGAACATGTCTGCAGAATTTTAAGTAATAACCTTTGGCTGCATAAATCATAAAGAATGAATTTGTCAAACACCATTCAGAAAAGAGCAAACACTGTACCGTCAATTCTGCTGTCTTGTCAGAGACTTTGGGGCTTACCTTAAACTTTTTATCATCACTTAGAAAGGAAGTGCAAAGAAAACTAAGCCATGTCTAAGTTAATTGAATAATTAGCCTGTATAAAATTATTTACCACATGCTCTCAATTAAAAATCCATCTCTTGTTCTTATTGTGCTTGTTTATGAGTGTATTTATATTTAGCTTTACTTTGAATGCAGAGGAAAATCCTTTGCAATCTTGTCTATGTTGATGCATAGATTAAACTTAAAAGTAAAATTTTAGGTAAGTAATCACTCAAAACAAATATTGATTATTTCTTTTGGTCATTTTGGCACACTGTAAAATATGCTGGATATAGATGATTTATCTTGCAGCAAATGTGTTTATGTCGGGAATCATATGGAGCTACATTAAATGCTATACATTTAGAGTTAATTTAAACTCAAAAACATGTTTTATCCCTGAACTAGTACATAGAAAAAAGGAGATTTGAGAGAGGTTTGAATTGTTGTCTTAGTTCTCTGTTCTGTAAAAGTTATGTTGTTGATTTGACAGACGGTTCAAACCTACTCCCCTCACCCTAAACCCAGGAGAGGCAGATATCAGCCCCCTCAGAAATAATAATGCGGTCATGGGAGTTTGGTTGTTTGGTCCAATTGTGTTTTATGGATTGGGAGAAGGCTCATGACTGTGTGTCTCCAGGGCTTTGGAGGGCTTCCTCATAATATGGGGGGAAGCTTTCTTAAAGAACTATCAGTGTATAAACAAAATAACTGCAGTGTCTGCATTCTTGGCAAAATGTGAAGAATATTCTTAGCATATGTTGGTCTGCAACGAAGTCTGGACCTTTTCATTGACCTTTTTATGTGGCTTTCATGAACAGGATTTCAAGACATAATGCTGAAGAGGTGTTGTCTAGCCTTTCCTTTATGCAGATTGACGTGATTCTGTTATCTTTGCAACCGATTGTGAAGGAGTTGGAATGGAAGCCATCTCCTGGGTATTGTTTTTAAGCAGAAAGATGTAGTGTTCCCCTCGGGCTAGAGCTGAGCCTTAATGCAAAGTTCTCAGTGGTCTGTCCCCCACCTATAAAATATTGATCATGACTGGCAGATTGGACAGATGAAGGGCTCAGTGGGCATTTATAGATAAAATTGTTAAAGGTTGAAATATGGAGCTGCAGATTTTGCTTTTGCGGGTACAAGTAGAACTTCTTGTCCTCACGCAGGCAGCAGGGCAGTACTGTGGGGAGATAAGTTCATCAATAGATTCTTAGCTTGGGCTTATGCCTGAATCGGGGACAGATTAAAGATAGTGTTTATTATTAACTCATCAAATCTATAATTTAGTTGGGGAAGTTTTAGTACAAGGTAGCTAACTTTTGCAGATAGCTTTTAACAACATTCTAAGTAAATCCTCATTAGCAGAGCTATTCACTAATCTTCATGTGCTGTATTGAAGGAAGGAAGAGCTTGGTAAATCACACATGTCTGCTGATATTAGCCTAAAATAATTTTCCTGTAACATCAGAAATTCCTAATATCAGACATCTGAATATCTCAAGGCAACTCATCCGTTGTAAATCCGAATGCAATTCTGTGAATCTGTTATTTACACAACAGGATTATTTTACCACATCCTTTTCTCCTCTAGTGTTGTAATGTGCAAAAGCTCCAGATGGAGGAATAGTAATCAGCTAAGATGACAGTGGCTTTGACAGTCCTCCTGCTATCTCACACATTACATCTGCCTCCAGCCCTGACATAACAGCCAAAGACACATACAGACAGTTAGGTCTAAATGTCACATTCAAACTGGGCTGAAAGTACACTAACCGCTGCCAATGATGATCCAAACACAGAGCAAAGCCAAGATGGCTTTAAATTAAAATTTACATTTTATTAAAATTTCATATTTTTTCAAAAGATGTGGTTCATGTTAGAAAACCACAAAAAAATCTATTACTGGACAATTGAAAAAGACATTTTACACATGGAAAAAGGGCAAATGGTAAAGCCTTTATTCAATTGCATGTTTTTAAGAAACTTAAATTAACATTAACCAAAAGTTTTTCTTAGGCTTAACTCTACCCACTTCTGTGTTTATTTATAATGCTTAGAAAACAAATAAATTTGAGCAATCAGCCAAACAGCAAATGTATAATTATAGACATGCCAACAGAGTATAATGGATGGTTCTTATACACTTTAAAAAAATATGATTAAATAAACTACAGCGCATTAACAAAGCATTAAACTCCAATGGAAATCATTTTATCTATATAATCATTTCTGAAACTTGTTGATTTCACAATAGCTAGGAAATTATATTTATAAAATCTATGATTTTAATGAGACAAACTTTGAATCAGATCTAAATTGCCACTGCAATTCACTGCAATTTTATTACAATTTCCTTTTACAATAACCTTAATCATGTAAATGTTCCACTCCAAGGTTTTCAGTTTTCCATGTCATTAAAATCTGGCTTGTCCCGAGTCAATTGTTGCAGGAGTTTACAATAACTGTTGTGTGAAAAAGTGCTACATTCTTCTTGCATGCAGAAATCTAGGTGCTAGCTGCAACTCTATTTTCATCTGCACGGTTAAAAATACACATTAGGCATATTACTGCCACCTAAAGGGCTGTTGGGAGAAATTTAGTTAATTACTCTTGTTAAAATTAATATGACTAAAACTGAAAGCTGAAGTCTGTAAGTTTTTAAAAATCACTTTTTTGTCATATTGGCTAAAACTGTCCCTATGCCCAGACAGCAGTACAGGTGCTGGTCATAAAATTAGAATATCATGAAAAAGTAGATTGATTTCAGTAATTCCATTTAAAAAGTGAAACTTGTATATTATATTCATACATTACATACAAACTCATATATTTCAGATGTTTATTTTGTTTAATTTTGATGATTACAAATGACAACAAATGAAAATCTCAAATTCATCATATCAGAAAATTTGAATATTACTGAAGACCAATAAAAACAAAGGATTTATAGAAATGTTGGCCAACTGAAAAGTATGAACATGAAAAGTATGAGCATGTACAGCACTCAGTATTTAGTTGGGCCTCCTTTGGCCTGTATTACTGCAGCAATGCGGCGTGG